TTTGATATTTTCTTTAAGCATTGTATGGTATGACGTGTTGAACTATGTTGTATTGCTGCCCCTTTTTTGCATCATGACAAATATCTAAAATGTTTTCTATTAAGACTACCAGTAGTCTTGCTCTTTATAGAGTATAATAGACCTTTATTGTCATTGCACCTAAATAATCTAATCTAATCTTTATCTACTTTTAAGACTTGTGTCAGAATCTGATGATGTTTTAGGTCATATTTATTAGGGGTGTAACGGTACGCTAAAATCACATTTTGGTTCGGTTCAATTTCAAGGAGGGCTCGGTTCGGTTAATTTTCGATAAAAAAAAGACAAAATGAAGACTTACAAAACGTTTGTTTTGAAAATATGCCAAGTAACAATACGTTTGTATAAAAATAAATAAACGCAACCCCTTTGGATTATATTTAAAATAAACAGCACTCTTTACAATAAATAAACTATACTAACAATAATGAAAATCTTAATAAATACAATAACAGTCAGAACCAGAACAACAAGCAGCAACAGACTGTTTACAATCTAACTAATCAAGTTAGTTTTTGGCCAAAAAGACCAACAAGCACAGATCTATTTGCAGTGAATATCTTCAGTGATGGAGAAAACCACTCACTAACAACAGTAGCAGGAATAAAGAGGTAGCATTTTGCTAATTTTGCAGTGTGGCTGTATTTGGCCTCATTACTCATAACCTCTTCTTGGACCTGCTCCCACCTGTTCCTGGAAAAGTTCAGAGTTCACTCATCACAGACTTCTTAGCTGGAGGTGATCTCTGGTGGATTTCCCTGAAGAGGAAGAAGACTCAGCTGCTGTCTCTGTCCCAGACTGGAAATAAAACACAAAGAGGTAAAAATGAGTTAATAAGATTATAATTTTAAATTAAAAAAGTTAATTAGATAATAATAAAAAATAATAAAAGAACAATATCTCCTCTTGAATGGTTGTTATGAGGTGGTTGAATCTCTTGATCATCATCATCAGGACAGGGCTCTAATCTGGTCCAGGGCTTGTTGACAATATCAGTTTTAGCTTTTTCATAAAGTGCTGCTACAACTTTTTGGCTGAAGTGTTGACGTGATGGGATGTCGTACTGGGGTCAAGAACTTTAAAACAAGCACATCAACAACAGAAACATGGATCTAGAGCTTTAAAAACTCCTACAACTTGTGTTATTACTCTGGACCGATCTGAATTACCTGATAAAGGTTGTTTAAATGCTGCTGTTGTCGGTCTTTGTACCAATCTGCTTTTCTTGCTTGTAGAAGAGACGTTCACGTTCGGATGATGTTGTTTCAAGTGCGTTAACAAGTTAGACGTGTTGCTGCTGCAGATCCAATCTCCGCGAAACAACGTCGATACACAGCTTTGGATTTGTTCACTTAACTTTTAACAGGAAAGCCATAATGTTCCCAAACAGGAGACCGCAACGACATGCTAGGCTGCTAATGCTAGCGTGCTGCAAGATAATAGCGCCGTGCAGAAACACGCTTAGGAATTTTAGTTCCGCGGCGCATAATCTCTCATTAATAAAATGTAACGAGTGAAAAAATAACCGAAACGGTACGCACGTGGACCGAACCGAACATGCCGTACCGAAACGGTTCGGTACACCCATGTGTACCGTTACACCCTTAATATTTACAGAAATATAGAACATTCTTAAGGGTTCTCAACCATTCAAGCACCACTGTAAGCTTTTACTAATTAGGCTATATTTCCTTTCATTTTCAATGGATCAATATGTAGGGTATGCTCATACTCTATCAGTAAAGCTGAGCTCATCTGCACCCGCAGTTTCCACTTTATAATTTTTTCAAAGTAAAACAAACAGACGCTGGGAAGCTCTTATTTGCTTTTCTCATCTTTTTCTATGGGAGGGGGTAGCGTGTGTTCAGTAGGTGTTCTGTCTAAACAACTCTAAAAAAAATGCACTACTAGGGAAAAAAAAAATGCGTGCCACTGCCATCTGTTTGTTTAAAAAAACATGACGGTTGCATTAATTAAAATGGTCCATTTTAATTAGACTTTGAATATTCACTAATCTCTGACCATCTCTACTGTTGAGCAGCAATAGTTGCGTCTGTAAGGTAATTGCTGATGTGTTTTTGTCTTGGAATTGTTCAAACAACCTTCATTCAGCATGCTGAAGATCAGCATTCTGCCCAAACATCTTTTTTTAGAGTCCCACTTGCTGACCAATAGTGTTATTTATTTATTTTACATATTTAATAAGTAACACCAGGCTGCTACTTACCTTCTTAATTTTTATAGATATGTATGTTATATGTAAAACCCAAAGGGTCAGATAGAAGGAAATACTTCTGTAGCCTGACGTACAGCGTCCATACAGTGCCTCTCAGCTCAATAAAACTCTTCATTTCTCTTCTCTGTGTATTTCTGTGTTATGATCACAGCGAGGACTATAAAAGCTCCAGCTTTGTAATGATGCAGATGTTTTATAGCAGTCGGAGGATGGCTTTAATATCCAACCAAGCCTCCTAGGGAGCACAACAGTTTGTTGAACATCTCATCTGTGTCTTCACACCATTGTTCACACATAGCCCATAGCTACAGAGGCAGTTGCTATGGCAACAGTGCTTTTCATCTCTGTAGGCAACATGGATGAGTTTTTATGTTTCTCCACCCCTTCAGCTCCTCAGGTAATGTTTCCCTGAGTGTAGATGTGATGACCCGTGGTGACATAGTTGTCCACTGTCAGTTTGTGACACACACACATACACACACACACACAGCCGTTTTCAGCTAAATCACACTTGGTGTATATAATGTGAGTCTATGTAGGCTACAGAGAAATATGAGCAGTTTTAATAAGAACAAGAGAACATCGGTTCTTTAGACCCATTCAATAAACTGAGCTGTACCTCTTACTGCTTGTTTGGGTGGTGTTAGCTGTGTGTGCACACAAGTACCATTTGGAGACAGTTATACTTCTGTGTCACATCACCTGCTGTAAACCCATTCATAGTTTAATTCATGATGATTGAGAGGTCATGCCACAGACTAAATTGTTTTTGTCACTGATACAATAGTTGAAATAATAAAACCCCAGTACTGTGAAAAGAGATTATTGTCAATACAGATGTGGAAATTTCTCCATGTGCTTGTGAACAATCTTCAGTGATGCAGTGACCGGACATAATCAGGAATTTGCAGCTGACACAAAGTTTATTCATAGTTTATGGTGCTCCTGGATTTGTTTATGTTTACCAGGAAAATGTTTGCCTGAACTGAAATGAGGATTCTACATTTGAACTAAATCTTGCAGGGCTTGTCGCCATCTTATTTAGGGATGGAAATCTATAAATTCCTCATGATTAGATTTAATTCTGATTGAGAAGGTTGTGATTATAAAAAGCATAGGCTCTTGTAGACCTATAAGAAACATGTTTGCTCTACACTGCAGTGTTAAACAGTTTTCTTTCAGACTACAATTTGGGATCAAAAAAGGGAATCAAAATGTTGAGTATAGGGATATTAAATTCTATGGCAATGGATGTTCTTGCACCATGCAAGAGCTGTCTCACCAACATGCTTCAGTCTTTTTTCAACTTCATATCCTGTTTTAGAACGTGGGAATGGCTTTGTATTTTTGGCATTGGATCATCATGTTCTAGGGTGGCTCCAAAGGATGCATCACAGTACACAATCCCTTTTATTTTTCCTGTCACTGAACGCTCATGTAGATATTTGCCAAGAATAGTTGAAATACAATTTGTAGTGTGCGTTTCCTTTTCAAAGTTAGGAGGAGACTTTGACATGTTTTGGTTACCATTGGCAGCTAGTAGATACCACAGTCTGATTTTTTTTTTTTTATTTGTTCTGAATGGAAATGTCCACAAGTCTTTGTGTGGCTCTTGTCAATATAATGTTTCCCTTTTACTTCATAGAAGCCACATTAATTTCAAACTATGACATTTCAGTGTTTCCCTAGGTTACATGCCTTGGGAGGGTTCTCACCTCATAGGCATTTGTCAACAGGAGGTAGGAGGGGATTGTTGGTGGCGCACTATGGTAGTATTGCCGGTGCCGAAGTATTTGTAGTGAAGTGTTATGGTACAAATGTACTATGTCTAAGCAGAGCTGCTACAATCTCAGCTCCCCATTCAGAAGTAGCAGACCTGTCTGCCATGGGGGTGGGGGGTGGGGCATTTAGTAGGCAGGGGTGCTTGGTTCTGGATAATGATAGGGTAAACACTGTGTTTTATGCAAAAATTGCTGCTCTTATGCATCTGTTAGCCATAATGTGAACATATTTGTAATTTGTGTTTACACAGTAAATATTATGGGTGTTGCACTGCCTGTATTGTCATCAAAGCATGTGTTTATACAATGATAACATTTGTTCTATGCATTTGACCCATCACACATGAAAGTGGAGCAGTGGGCAGCTACTTTAGCCCCTGAGGAGCAGTTAAGGAATAGGTGTCTTGCTCAGAGAAACAGTAACATAAGGGCAGGGAATCGACCTTGCGACGTTCCAATCTCAAGATGCCTGCCGTACTACTGCGCCACAACGGCCCCAAATATGTATTTCTGTTAACAGTTTTCAGCTGAATACCCTTCCTGACTCAACCTGCGATCAAACCTGCAACCTCAGGATTACCAGATCACGGCACTGATCTCCAAGCTCCCACAGCCCCCAGTCAACATTAAAGAATAAACAATGTTTTATATTTTTGAACTGATTCGTGTTGGTCTATGTTCACATCACAATGCATTAAAAAGAGGCACCTGCTCCCTGTGAGCTTGAACAAGTGGTTCAAAATGGATTCACTGAAGGATGTCTTGTATTTGATCAATGATGGAAGGAAAACCTCAGGGACCTTGATGGTCGATTCTCATGTGATGCTGTCCAGCTGTGTCCATGTTCCAGTGTTGCACCATCTCCTGCTGCACCCAAGACTAGAACAGTGTTTTATCAGACAGCAATAAGCAAATACTCTGCATTGCTCCTCTGTTTTTCACAGGCTTCCTGCTCTTCAAGGACTTCTGTATGCTTGAGATCGACGAGGCCGTGCCACTGCTCAAGTTCTATGAAGAGGCAAGTCTTTCTGTGTGTGTGTGTAATTAGGTGAAGAAAAGGATGTGTGATTAGGCGTCTAATCCGGCTCATTCAGATTTAGTCCTCAGAAGCGCTTTGTGTCGAGCTCCTATTCCTGTTTCAGATCAAGGACTACGAGAAGCTGGACTCTGAGGAGGAGCGCTTGAGCCGCAGCCGGAAGATTTACGACACCTACATCATGAAGGAGCTGCTTACCAGTTCACATGTGAGGACGACACTTCTCAGATTCACACTGCGTCACTCGTGTACTCAGGGTCAAGTACATGCAGGCACACGCTCAGAACAAACACTGGCTTATCACTGATCATCACACTGTGGGTCTCACCATGTACCAGCTAATGAAAACACATTTTCTTCTGGTATATTTCTTGTGAAATATTTAATATAAATGCAATTATATTTAGATTAAATTAGCATAGAGAAATTTCAGCTCAAACCTGCACCAGTCAGTGTCATTAAAGTTTTAAGTGTGCATCCTGCCAATAATCTTATATTTCAGCTCTTTTCATGGTTTGGTTTAAATGGACTGTACTTATATAGTGCCTTTCTATCTTATCGAGATACTCAAAGCACTTTACAACACAATCTGTCTCCTCATTTACCCATTCATACAGCACTCTACTAGATCTCTACAAAGATAATTGAACAAATCATTCTAAAGAGACTAATCATAGCTTTATCACATTCATACACTGATGGGACACACATCAGAGGCTATGAGGGGTTCAGTGTCTTGCCCAGGAACACTTCAACATGTGACTGCTGGTGGATTCGAACCCCAACTCTCGCATTGGAGGACGACTGCTCTAACCACTCAGCCACAGCCACCCCAAGTTTAGTTGTCTATCACTTTCCTTTTGTATGTGCATTTGATTGACCAATGACTAAACTTTCCTATTCAAATGAGACACAGGCTAGTAATGTTGTAGTTAAATACTTGCATGTATATTTGCATGTGTTTAAACAGATGCTTGTGTTTTACAATTATTTGCTGAAACAAGATCAAAGTTGTGGCGTACAAAATATGCATTTATGCAGAATGAAATTATTTTTTACATTGACTTTAAACGTAATATAAAAATGTTAAGTAGCTGAAAATACCATTTCGTCTACAATGGTTTAAAAATGGATCCATTCTCTTTGAAATTTTCCAATTTTTGTCTTTTTACAACCACAACTTCAAAATGTTTTACTGATATTTATTTTACAACACAAATAATGCATAGTTGTGATGTTAAAAGAAAATGATGCATGCTTTTTCAGTTTCTTTATCAATAAACTGGGATGTATGTTTGTCGTATACATAAATGAATTAGTGAATAGAGTTCACTCGTGTTTAATTTAACCTCAGTATGAATCCAGCTGTAATGAGAAGGCCTCATAGTTTTTTTTTTTTTTTTTTTAAACCTCAGTCATCAAAAAGCATCATGAAGAACAAGGAGTACACCTGATGGGCCATTGACCAGGTTGTTGAGAAGTTTAAAGCAGAGTTTGGTTATAAAACAATATGCCCAACTTTAATGTCTCAGAGATCTGTTTATCATTTGAGAATGAGAGGGAGGCTGGTGGAACAGTTAGGCTACAAGGAACAGAGATCACAAAGGTGCAGGACTTCAAGTACTTGGGGTCCACTGTGAAAAAAAAGAGTCCAGGCAGGATGGAGTGGATGGAGAAAAGTTTCAGGAGTGATTTGTGACAAAAAGGTGTCGGCAAATGTCAAAGGAAAAGTTAAAAAGACAGTGGTGAGACCAGCTATGTTGTATGGTCTGGAGACAGCGACATGGACAAAAAGACAGGAGACAGAACTGGAAGTGGCAGAAATGAATATGTTGAGGTTCTCCTTAGGAGTGACAAGGATGGATAAGATTAGGAATGAGATCATCAGAGGTACAGCACAGGTTGAACAACAGGGAGATAAAATTACAGAGGACACACTGAGGTGGTTCGGACATGTCCAGAGGAGGGACAGTGGGTATATTGGTAGAAGGAGGTTAGAAATGCAGCTGCCAGGAAAAAGAGAAAGAGGAGCTATATGAATGCAGTTAGAGAGGACATGGAGGTAGTTGGAGTGAGGACAGAGAATGCAGAGGACAGAGATGGAGGAGGAGGACTCACTGTGTAGACCCCTGAAGAAGGAATAGACAAAAGAAGAAGTTTATCATCCCATTGTATGAATAAATTAAACTCTGTTAACTGTATAAATTTGTCCTGATGCATGCTCAATAATCTAGGTAGAAAAATCTAAAAAAGTTCAATCTGGTCCTCTGTATAAATCTGTCGTTGAGATAGTTTTGTCATCAGATTTCCCTCATGTCTTTGTCTTGAACAAAAACACACCTGACTCCTAGAATCTGATTTCATTAGCTAGCTTCACCATTTAGTCACAATTTCTTATATTGTGATTATTTTGATTTTTGAGGTTAAGTGACAACATTGCATATATTTTTTAATATGGGAAGATTCTATACTTTGAAATTTCATTTTTTTAGATCATCAATTCAGGTCAAATCTGCTTAGTTTCACCTCAAACCAGCTGAAGTAAGTTAATATTCTCCACTGCACACCTGGCTGCAGCTTTTGTTCACCTGAAATGCAACATGTTGGGATGTAAAGTGAAGTTGTTGCTTGTTGCATCACAGGGAGGAAGTTAATAAACCAGCCACCCACTCACTCTCAGATATTAGTCCTGTGCTCTGTAGCAGCAGCATGTTTCACCAGGTGATACATGTCCCCACTCAGGGAAAACAGAAATGAAACAACTGTTCAATCTGCTGCTTTAATCACCCTTCATGTATATGTTGCAGTCATTTTCCAGCAAGGCAGTGGGACATGTGCAAGCTCACTTGGTAAAGAAACGAGTCCCCCCAACGCTCTTCCAGGTAAAACAGTTTCCACACAGGTGTTTGTCTTTTGCCATTACTCAAAAATTACTCTTTAGAGGCAAATACTGAGTGAATTAAACATTTTCTGATCTTTATTAACCAAAATATAGACAGAAGACTGGAAATATAGCAACTAATGTAATTTTGTCTGCAATTCATATCAGATTTTTACTGTAGAAAGTTACAACTAACCCTAAAAATAAAAATACATCATATTGTGAAGATAGATGTAAGGACACAAGTGCAGACATTAATCATATGCCTGACTCTGTAATCACTGTTTTTTCATGTTGCGATGACACTATCTGTAAACAAAGCCCAACTCTGACCTTCTTATCATTTGTTAAAATCTAATTACACTGAGGAAATAAGTATTGCTACGCTGCTGAATTTGCAAGTTTTCCCACCTACAAAGAATGGAGACGTCTGTAATTTTTATCGTAGCTACTCTTCAACTGTGACAGACAGAATCTAAGACAAAAACTCAGAAAATCCATCCATCCATTATTTTTACCCGCTTCTTCCTTTTCGAGTCACGGGGGTCGCTGGTGCCCATGTCCAGCAGTCACTGTGCGAGAGGCGAGGGACACCCTGGACAGGTCTCCAGTCCATCACAGGGACACATAGAGACAAACGAGACAAACAACCATTCACTCTCTCACTCACACCTAGAGACAATTTAGAGTTTCCAGTCTGTCTAACATGCATGTTTTTGGGCTGTGGGAGAAAACCCACGCATGCACGGAGCGAACATGCAAACTCCACCCAGAAAAACCCCTGGACCGGGATTTGAACCAGGGTAACCTGCTCGCTGAGAGGGACCATTCTACCAGTTACGCCACCGTGCTGCCCATAACTCAGAAAATCACATTGTATAATTTAATTTTTTTTCATTTACATTTTATTGCATGAAATAAGTATTTGATCACCAGCCAGCAAGAATTCTACTGTATTTCTCACAAACCTGTTTTTTTCTTTAAGAAGCCCTCCTATTCTGCACTAGAGCTCTCATTTCTAACCCAAACCTGGAGCCCGGCCCCACCCGACCCAGATTTGGACCAGGCTGGACCATAATAATGTGCTTAATGTGTGGACCAGTTCAGTGTCGGGCTTTTTATTGTCAGGGATGCGCGCAGTCGATGAGCCAATATATGCAAACATGGCTTGCTGCACGCGGCCATTTCGCCGTGCGCTGACCGGACAGTTGAAAGAGGTAAAAAGTTCAGTTAAGCTTCAGATGGACTACTGCCAGTGACCCATCAGCCCAAATGGATGTTCATTCAGCCGCTGTACTCAGAGGATGTGCGCGGCTGACGACTCAAACAGGTGAGATCACAAAATATCCTACATGTCAGAGCAGGGTCCAATGCAGGCAGAAGCAGGGGAAGCATTTAATGCGCTTTGATGGCTCCTCAGCTCCGATCTTCTGCCCCCTCAGTCGTTTCGGATTATTTGAACCGAAATGCAATTCTATTCTGCACTCATTACTTGTATTAATTGCACTTGTTTGAACTCATTACCTGTATAAAAGACACCTGTCCACACTCAATCAATTACACTCTAAGCTTTCCACCATGGCCAAGACCAAAGGCTGTCTAAGGACACCAGAGACTAAACTGTAGACCTGCACAAGGCTGGGATGGGTTACAGGACAACAGGCAAGCAGCTCAGTGAGAAGACAACATCTTTTGGTGCAATTATTAGAAAATGGAAGAAACTCAAGATGACTCCATCTTCCTCAGTCTGTGGCTCCATGCAAGATCTGGCCTCGTGGGGTAATGATGATGCTGAGAAAAGTCAGGAATCAGTTCAGAACTGCACAGGAGGACCTGGGTCAAGGACCTGAAGAGAGCTGGGACAACAATCTCACAGAGGACCATTACTAACACACTACACACTCATGGTTTAAGATCCTGCACGGCATACAAGGTCCCCCTGCTCTTGTCTGAGCCCTTGAACATATATTTTTTTAAAGTTCAAGGACAGACATCTTCATTTCAGTGTCAAACTCTTCACACATTTTATAAAAACCCTCAGACTGTTTCAAGTCAAACTATTTACATGTATTACTGTGAACTCGGGATGGTAACAGAAAGCCCTGTAGATCACCATATCTTTGTTCTCTGATAACTGAATATGACACATTTGATTTACTTGTACAAAGTTATCCAATCGGTGGCTCAGTTGGTAGAGCTGCTGCCTCTCTTGCACAATGATAGTTGGACATGGGAACCAGTGACCCCTGCGACTCAGAAAGGAAGATGCAGGTAAAGATCATGGATGGATGGAAGTTATCCAATCAAACTAATTTTTAAAGGCTTACCTGGTCTCAGGGCCTTTAGGTGCTCAGTGACCTTATGTCTCCTTGTAGAGCCACTGGCTCAGTAATTCACAGTGAATCAAGTTGGAAGCGTTGAATGCTTTTTATGTAAAGCGTTTCTGGGACAAACAGCTTTTTGTACGAGACACGTTGGTCAAACATGACATGGAATTCCATAGCTGCAGAAATGGAATTGAATTTTGACTCGCATAAATTTAAGTTAAAACAAAAGAAGAGCAACTTTGTCATGAAGCACAGCTGCCTTTCTTCTTTTAAAAATATAATTGTAATTTAAGGATGATATTTCACAATGACAAGACTTCTGGTATCGATCTTTTGTACAATTCAGACAAAATACGAATAAAAGTCCACATAGACAAAAATGGAGTTTTAATGAAAAGCATTAAGAAAACTCGGTCTTTCTTTGAGCCCTCTGTCTCGGACTTCACAGTAGAAATGTCTTTCACAGTTTAAGGTCAAGGTTTCTTTCCCACACCTTAGTAATAAACTCAGTAATTTTTGAGCTGTCTAAACTTTACAATTTTTCACAAACAAAATCCCTTACCCTTTGAGTGTCCCAATGATCCTAGGAGCTATGCTGTCAGGGGCTTTACGCCCCTAGTAGGGTCACCCATGGCAGACAGGTCCTAGGTGAGGGACCAGACAAAATGCAGCCCAAAGACCCCGAGGAAGAGAAAAATTAATGGACTTAATGTTCCTTTACCCAGACGTGGGTCACTGGTGCCCCACTCTGGAGCCAGGCCTGGAGGTGGGGCACTCGGGCGAGCGCCTGGTGGCCGGGCTTTTACCCATGGAGCTCGGCCGGGTACAGCCCGAAGAGGAGACGTGGGTCCCCCTTCCCATGGGCTCACCACCTGTGGGAGGGGCCAAAGGGGTCGGGTGCAATGTGGGATGGGTGGTGGCCGAGGGCGGGGACCCTGGCGGTCTGATCCTCGACTACAGAAGCTGGCTATTGGGACGTGGAATGTCACCTCACTGGTGGGGAAGGAGCCTGAGCTGGTGTGTGAGCCTAAGAGGTTCGGGCTAGAAATAGTCGGACTCACCTCTACGCATGGCTCTGGCTCTGGAACCAGTTTCCTTGAGAGGGGCTAGCCACTCTTCCACTCAGGAATTGCCCCTGGTGAGAGGTGCAGAGCAGGAGTGGGCATACTTACTGCCCCCCAACTTGGTGCCTCTGTGTTGGGTTCACCCCGGTGAATGAGAGGTTGGCCTCCCTCCGCCTACGCGTGGGGGGACTGACTGTCATTTGTGTTCATGCACCAAACGGCAGTTAAGATTATCCACCCTTTTTGGAGTCCTTGGAGGGGGTACTGGAAAGTGCACTTCCTGGGACTCCCTTGTTCTGCTGGGGGACTTCAATGCTCATGTGGGCAATGACAGTGAGACCTGGAGGGGTGTGGTTGGGAGGAACGGCCTCCCTGATCTGAACCAGAGTGGTGTTCTGTTGTTGGACTTCTGTGCTCGTCATGGATTGTCAATAACGAACACCTTGTTCAAGCATAAGGGTGTCCATATGTGCTCTTGGCACCAGGAAACCCTAGGCTGCAGTTCGATGATCGACTTTGTCATTGTCTCATCTGATCTGTGGCCACATGTCTTGGACACTCGGGTGAAGGGAGGGGTGGAGCTGTCCACTGATCACTACCTGGTGGTGAGTTGGCTCCGATGGTGGGGGAGGATGCCGGTTAGATCCGGCAGACCCAAACATATTGTGAGGGTTTGCTGGGAACGTCTGGCAGAGTCTCCTGTGAGACGGAGTTTTAACTCCCACCTCCGGGAGAACTTCGAACATGTTCCGAGGGAGGTGGGGACATTGAGTCTGAGTGGACCATGTTTGTGCCTCTATTGTCAAGGCGGCTTACCAGAGCTGCGGCCGCAAGGTTGTCGGTGCCTGTCGCGGCGGCAACCCTCGAACCCGATGGTGGACACCATCGGTGAGGGATGCTGTCAGGCTGAAGAAGGAGTCCTATTGGGCCTTTTTGGCCTGTGGGACCCCGGAAGCAGCTGATGGGTATCGGCAGTCCAAGCGACATGCGGCTCGGGTGGTCACTGAGGCAAAAACTCGGGCATGGGAGGAGTTCGGAGAGGCCATGGAGAATGACTTCCACACGGCTTCGAGGCGATTCTGGTCCACCATCTGGCGTCTCGGGGGGGGGAAAGCGGTACGCCACCAACACTGTTTATAGTGGGAGTGGTGTGCTGCTGACCTCAACTCGGGATGTTGTGGGTCGGTGGGCGGAATACTTTGAAGACCTCCTCAATCCCACCGACACGTCTTCCACTGAGGAAGCGGAGCCTGGGGACTCTGGGTCGGGCCCTCCAATCTCTGGTGCTGAGGTCACCGAGGTGGTTAAAAAGCTCCTCGGTGGCAGGGCCCCAGGGGTGAATGAGATTCGCCTGGAGTTCCTTAAGGCTCTGGATGTTGTAGGGTTGTGTTGGCTTACACGACTCTGCAATATTGCGCGGACATAGGGGGAAGTTCCCCTGGATTGGCAGACCTGAGTGGTGGTCCCCCTATTCAAAAAGGGGGACCGTAGAGTGTGTTCCAACTACAGGGTAATCACACTCTTTATCCTCCCTGGTAAGGTATATTCGGTGGTTCTGGAGAGGAGGGTCCGTCGGATAGTCGAACCTCGGATTCAGGAGGAGCAATGCAGTTTTCCTCCTGGCCGTGGAACACTGGATCAGCTCTACACTCTCAGCAGGGTCCTGGAGGGTGCGTGGGAGTTTGCCCAACTGGTCTACATGTGCTTTGTGGACTTGGAGAAGGCGTTTGACCGCGTCCCTCGGGTAACCCTATGGGGGATACTCTGGGAGTATGGGGTACCAGGCCCTTTGATACGGGCTCTTACGTCCCTGTATGACCAGTGTCAGAGCCTGGTCCGCATCGCCGGCAGTAAGTCGAGCTTGTTCCCGGTGAGAGTTGGACTCCGCCAAGGTTGCCCTTTGTCACAGATTCTGTTCATAACTTTTATGGACAGAATTTCTAGGCGCAACCAAGGTGTTGAGGGGATCTGTTTTGGTGGCCTTAGGATTGCGTGTCTGCTTTTTGCAGATGATGTGGTCTTATTGGCTTCATCAGATCGTGATCTACAGCTTTCGCTGGAGCGGTTCGGGTTTGCAGCCGAATGCGACGCGGCCGGAATGAAGATCAGTTCCTCCAAATCCGAGGCCATGGTCTTGAGCCGGAAAAGGGAAGAGTGCCCTCTCTGGGTCAGGGAGGAGGTCGTACCGAAGTGGATGAATTCAAGTATCTTGGGGTCTTGTTCACGAATGAGAGAAAAATGGAGCGTGAGATCGATAGGCGGATAGGTGCAGCGTCTGCAGTGAAGCGGGCGCTGTACCGCTCTGTCGTGGTGAAGAGAGAGCTGAGTCAAAAGGCGAAGCTCTCAATTTACCGATCATTCTATGATCCTACCCTCATCTATGGTCACGAGCTTTGGGTTGTGACCAAAAGAATGAGATCTCGGATACAAGCGGCCGTAATGAGTTTTCTCCGCAGGGTGTCTGGGCTCTCCCTTAGAGAGAGGGTGAGAAGCTCAATCATCTGGGAGGGACTCAGAGTAGAGCCGCTGCTTCTCCACGTCGAGAGGAGCCAGTTGAGGTGGCTTGGGCATCTGTTTAGGATGCCTCCTGGGCGCCTCCCTGGTGAGATGTTCTGGACACGTCTCACCGGAAGGAGGCCCAGAGGAAGACCCAGGACACGCTGGAGGGACTATGTTTCTCGGCTGGCCTGGGAACGCCTCAGGATTCCCCCGGAAGAGCTGGCCCAAGTGGCTGGGGAGAGGGAAGTCTGGGCCTCCCTACTTAGGCTGCTACCCCCGCGACCCGACCCCAGATAAGCGGAAGAAAATGGATGGATGGAAAATCCCATACCCACAATTTGTATCCCTTCTAATACAGTTTGAACATCGAAACGTATCCATTTTGTATCCTTTCACACGTCTTTCACTGCTGTACGACCTATTTTTTTCCAAACCCTCTGAGTGCACATATCTACACTTCTTACCGTCCATTGGATCTGAGTTTAGAGTTCCTTTCAATTTGAAATTGAGGATCTTTTTACTTTGCTACATTTTTTACTTAAAACATGTGGACACAGAGAAAAAGAAATGCATGCCCAGAAACTTCTGCTCTTTATACTTCAGGAATATTTTCAGCATCAGTGATTGTTTTTGCTGAGTGATTGTAGGTTCGAGGTCCCATTCACATTTGTGTCTGCCTGTCATAAGAACATCTCACGGTATAACAGACACTGTTATGTGGTTAGCATTGAAACTTTAATGAGCCACTTGCAGCATCTATAACATTTCATTTGATTTGGGGTCTTTTTGTATTTCTTATACACTTTATATATCAAAAGATAGGTGGTTTGTCATCCGGGCATATTAAAGTAAATCCCATATAAAGATTGAACTTTTTGAAAGAAATTTGGGATTTTGGGCAGTAGCATTATTGGCAGCCTTGATATATTTTCAAAAATGTTTTTGTCTTACTACTTAATCTGCTTTTGATTCCGTATCTGACTAAATTTTGCTATATTTTGTGTCTTTATGGACTAAAAGCCAGTTGAGGACCAGTATTGATCATGAGTTTAGGTGATAAAGTCAAGGGTGTACTGTTTGTTACTAAACACTTATTTTACGTATAAACATGAAATAAATAAATTAACACTTGTTGTGATTTGATCCCATAAAAGATAAGAGAAATATGTTGGTATATTTTTTGTAATGATGTTTGTATTTATTATTTTTTGTCGTAATGCAAACATGTATATGTGTGCGTGTGCAGCCATACATTGAGGAGATCTGTGACAGCTTGAGAGGCAATATCTTCCAGAAGTTCATTGAGAGGTGGGACAATATACAAATTGAAATTGTGTTTCAATATTTCACTTTACCTCATGCAGGTTTTATCCTTTTTTATTTGATTTTTGTTCTCAGTGACAAATTTTCCCGTTTTTGCCAATGGAAGAATGTGGAACTCAACATACACGTAAGTATTAGCTTTGGAGGTTGCTTTCGCACCCGTACTTCATCTCCTTTGATCCACATCGGGATATTTCTTGTCAGACAGCATCTTCTGTACTTTTTTTTTTTAACAGTTATTTAATGAACAGCAGGTGTTCTGTGAAGCAAAGGATGTCGGTAATAAAAAGAGTCTTAAGACTGTTACATCCACCCCTCTGATCTTTGTTTTTTTTTTTTTCCCATCAGTATAGTAGTTTTTGAAGATTTGGAGCTACAGTTCCCAAAGGGATTGGGGCATTTAAAAAGATCATTCAGAAAAATACTAAGTTCCAATCCCCGTTTTCCCATTACAAAGTTAAATTGGCTGAAATATGAGGGCAATCCTGTAAAATGTTGTGGTTGCTGCAGTTATTTGAGTTTGCAAATAACCAAAGATCCATCACCTTGGAGCGAAGAAGGGGAACTGGGGGTAGAACTGTCATTTCTAACCCGAACCCGGAACCTGGATTTGGGCCGGGCCATAATAATGTTTGGGCCGGGTCTATGTCAGGCTTTTGATTGCATCAGCAGACGCACGCGGCTGACTATCCAATTATATGTCAACATGGCTTGCCATTTGACTGCGCACTTACCGGCCTTGAAAGAGGTAAAAGAAAGTTCAGTTAAGCTTCAGATGGGAATGTACTGCCAGGCAGCGATCCATCAAAGCCCAAATGGACGTTCGTTCAGCCGCTGTACTCAGCGGACGCACGCATCTGACGACCCAAACAGGTGAGATCCCAAAATATCCGACATGTCAGAGCAGGGTCCTTGTCTGAATAATGCAGAATGCAGCAGAAGCAGAGATTTAATGAGCTTGGACGGCCATGAAAGGACAAACAACCCAACAACCCCTCAGCTCCGATCTTTTTCCCCCTTAGCTGCGTGTGTTCACCGACCGTTAATAACAATATAAACAGTCAAAGCTTAATTAAAAATGTTCGGGGGGGGGGGCGTGTTTCCATGTTTGGACCTGTAATTACTGTTAATTGGTCGGGTGGGTTTCGGAAATGATGACTTGGACCTGTAATTACTGTTAATTGGTCTGGTGGGTTTCGGAAATGACGACTACAGGGTGGGGCCAGATTGGGTCGGAATTTTTGGGCCCGAATGCAACTCTAATTGGGGGTAGCCAATGGGGTGGCCAAAGATTAATCTAAGGTGGTTAAGGCCACCATTGGCCACCCTCCGACTCCATCATTGCACCTAGTCATAGATAACGTTGCTCCCTCCACTTGACAGAATCTGTCAGTTATTACTGTGAAAAATTCCAACAACTCCCTCAGTTCTTCTCCACAGTGCAACTCCTACCCTCTTGAATACTTTGTATGGAAAACATTAACGTCAATGCTAGTTTATTTCTATAACATACAAACAACAAAAGCTGACCAAAGTGCTTTACAGTTAAGTCAGATTAAAAAGAGTAATAAATACATATTGTGTCTCTCAAAAAAACATAAAGGTAACAATAAAATAGACAACAATAAAAATCAGCTCTAACTGGTTCTCAGACACTGCATGGATCAAATGCCAAGGAAAACTGGAGTCTTGGGCAGAGATTTAAAAGTTTCAACAGTCTCAGCGGTCTTTAAATTACATTAAGGTGTACTTGCATTCCCTGTTTAATTACAGTCCAGAAAAACACTCATCTCAAAAACTGCAAACATTTACTATTCAAATCCCTCTGAGACGAGGGACATCAGTGTACCGCTTGCCTTAGCTGCGTTTAGGCTAGCTGTTAGCTCATCAGTTCTGCTGGACTTAAAATATTGTAAATCTGTCTCCAAATGGAGGCTATTCAATGTATCGTCTACAAACGGGTTAGATATGATTGATTTATAAGTTAACACAGAAATCCACTTCAGAATGGTAAAACTGTTCAAGTCATTGTTTGACTGCCACAGTTGGTTGAGATGGTATTCAGACTGCTGCTGTCAGGACTCGGTAAATGATTTTTCTCTATGATCTGCTCCCATGCTGCCTTGTCATGTTACTCTGTTTTAATATTCATAGTGCAAAGAAAACTAATAGTTTTCCATTTTCTGTAAACTTTGGCTCTGGCAGCATCTTTACACCTTGTCTAAAAATTAGTGTCTGCTGCCAAAGAAAGGAATTTAGAAACAGGAAGAGAAAGAAAACAATGGTAGCTTTTGGTTTCACTTAATTTCTTGCCCACACCGATCAGTGAGTGAAAACATTTGGTCATACGGAGTGAGAAGTTACTGAGCTGGAATGAGTTCTTGATGACTCACTGTGGATTGAAGCAGCTTTTAATCCAGACATCGGGATAATCCTGACAACAAATCCTGGAATCTTTCATTGCTTCTGTTACGTTACTATGAGCGTTCCACTTTAAAACGGATTGTTCTGCAATACTCTTGGATTATTTAGATAACTACAACTATTTTTGTCATAAATTCTGAACACTGGATAAAAACAGAAAAAATATTGTACAAACTTAACATACAGGTCTCAGCAGTCAGCTCTAAAGCAGCAAATCAGTTGTAAACATCTTGGTGTGAAAGTCCTCTACAGGATTCCTTCGCGTTTTGCCTTTGCTAACGTTTGCTCTCCACTTTGTTTCTCCTCAGCTAACAATGAATGATTTCAGCGTACATCGAATCATTGGCAGGGGTGGCTTTGGGGAAGTGTATGGCTGCAGGAAGGCTGACACTGGGAAAATGTAAGACAACACTGTATGAAAACTTTTGAAACAAATAAACCTAACTTTTTTTTAAATTATGCTTTATTTATTGTGTTTAAATTAGTAATAATGATTGTTTTTTGTTGTTTGGATGTCAGGTATGCCATGAAGTGTTTGGACAAGAAGAGGATCAAGATGAAGCAGGGGGAGACACTGGCGCTCAACGAGAGAATCATGCTGTCCTTAGTCAGTACAGGGGTGAGCTACGAGACCAGTTGTTTCTCATTTGGTCAGGCAGGAACAAGTTTTGCAAAGTGAATATTTACTAAATTTATTCAAATGAACAATCCATTTAAATTCCCAGTTTGAAAGCAACAAAACAGAAAGATTACCAAGGCAGATTAATACTTGTGTAAACTGGTGTCAGTGTTGAACAGGCAGACTCTTCCAGGGCCTCATATGTCATCAGTAGGATTGTCAGCAATCGAGTGAACGCTGGCGCGTCTGGCTGCCGCTGCTCACCGGCTGCTATTTTTGTGATTTGGAGACACTGACTCAGTAGAATCCTTTTGGTCCAGAACTCGTCGTCCTCCCCGTAATTCTGACAGGACTGTCAACCGCAGTGTGTTAGCCCACCTGGCTAGGTCGGCTAACACTATCGTCAAGCATCGCAACTCCAACATAAACTTCGGTCTTTTAAATGTCCGCTCTCTCACTGGAAAGGGACATCTCATCCAGAATCTCCTTCTCGACCGTAAGTTGGACTTTCTTTGCTTGACTGAAACATGGCAACAGCCCAACGACTTTGTTTCTCTCAACAAGTTTACCCCACCTGAGTTTGTTTACATCTGTCGCCCCCGCAACTCAGGGAGGGGCGGTGGTCTCGCGATAATTCATCGGAAGCACTGGAAAGTCCTCCCTGTCTCTGCCCCCCTCTTCCACTCATTTGAATACAATGCATCTCAGCTCCCTGGATCTACTCCTATTATTTTATGTACTGTTTATCGACCACCGAAGCCAAATAAGGATTTTTTTGTATGACTTTGCTGCTCTTCTCACTCATCTTTCTGTTCTCTCTCCCAATATGATTATTGTTGGTGACTTTAATATTCACATGGACAATGACAATAACCTTCTCACCAGAGATTTGACTTCCTGTCTGGATAGTTTTGGACTCCAGCAATACATCAAATTCCCTACTCATTCTAAAGGTCATATTCTGGATTTGGTTTGTTGTTCTGGTGTCACCCCTACTCACTGCAAAGCCATTCTGTTTCCCACTTCTGATCATATGTTTATTTCTTTTGATGTAAATATAATAGCTTTGAAAACTTGTACTCCTCGTGACATTACATTTAGGAAAATTAATGATATTGATACTGACAGTTTCTCATCTGCTATATATGACCTTCCATCTAGTCACTGCTCTTCAACCCCTGATGAACTCACTTCCTACTATAATGTCAACCTCCAAAACCTTCTTAACACATTTGCTCCACTCAAACACAGATCTGTTTCATTTTCTCGCTCAGCACCATGGTTTACGTTCAACCTGCGTCTTCTCAAAGCCAAGGGACGCCAACTGGAACGCCTGTTCAAAAAAACTGGACTCACTATACACAAAGAAATGTATAACAATTATATTTTGTTTTATAAGGACTGCATTGTCTCATCTAAATCTGCATACTACTCTGGTTTAATCAGTTCTAACGAAGGTAACTCCAAGTCTCTGTTTTCACTGTTTGCCAAAATTACTAAGCCTCCGGACTCATTTCCCTCCCACATGTACTCTGCTGACTTTTGCAACTCACTCATGTCCTTTTTCACTGACAAAATTTCCAATATCCACCAACAACTTAACCCTGTAAGAGCTGCTAACACTGAAGCTGACCCCCTGTTTTCCCCGCTGCCCTCCTGTCATTTACTCTCAAGTTTCACTCTTCCTTCCATATCTGACGTAACAAATATTATTCATAAATCAAAATCATCCACCTGCCAGCTTGACCCTCTTCCCACAGTGTTAGTTAAAGCTTGTCTCCCCACATTGGTTCCTCTCATAACCACTTTCATTCACTCTTCCCTTAATACTGGAATTGTTCCTTCATCTCTGAAAACAGCTTCTGTCACTCCAATTCTAAAAAAGCCTGGTTCAGATCCTAATAATTGTGATAACCTTCAACCAATATCTAATCTTCCTTTTATTTCTAAAATCCTTGAGAAAGTTGTTGCCTCTCAGCTCCACTCACACCTCAATAAACATAATTTTTACGAACAATTCCAGTCTGGTTTCCGCCCCCACTACAGTACTGAAACAGCTTTATTAAGAATCACCAATGACCTTTTGATGGCAGCTGATTCTGGTCTCCTCAACATTCTCATCCTCCTTGATCTCAGTGCGGCATTTGACACTTTTTCTCATAATATCCTCCTGAACAGACTAGCATCCATTGGCATCAGTGATACTCCACTTGCTTGGTTTAATTCATATCTTTCAGGCCGCACTCAGTTTATTCAATTTAAAACCCATTCCTCAAGTTTGTTTCCCGTTGCTGCAGATGTGCCCCAGGGTTCTGTATTAGGGCCCCTTTTATTTATTATTTATATGCTCCCTCTTGGCCACATATTCCGGAAACATAATGTCAATTTTCACTGTTACGCAGATGACACCCAGCTCTACATTTCCTCAAAACCCAATTCATCTCTTCCACCTTCCTCCCTATCGGACTGTCTTATGGAAATTAGATCATGGTTTTCCTCAAATTTTCTTAAACTCAACAGTAAGAAAACAGAAGTTTTACTTGTTGGCACAGTCTCCACTTTAACCAAATCGCAAAGTTTTTCCATCAATATTGACAACTCCCATGTTCTTCCTTCCCCTCAGGTAAAGAGTCTGGGTGTCATACTTGATAATACGCTTTCATTTTAATCTCATATTAACTCTATCACCCGGTCTGCATACTTCCATTTATGGGTATGACATGGGTTGACCCAAATTCAGGAAAGTTTTCATCAAATTGACTGAATGAAAAGAAGTTTCCATTTAAACCTGATATAGTGGAATACTGCAACAAAAAAAACTAAATGACAAGCAGTGTTGCTGGTGTTGCTAGAGAGGAAAATATTCCCTTTTTAACCCTAAGTTAGCTGCATTTTTTTTTAAATAAAAACTTCACTAGCTTTATTTGTTTTTCAGAAATTCAGCAGCTCTTCCATGCACAAATATGAAAGAAGTTATAATTCAGACGTTTAAAAAATGACTGCAGCTTTAGCTGAGTACCCACAAATGAAATATATAACGGTGATCTGTCACTTATTCAAGCATTAACCATAAGACTGAACAGTCAGAATGTTAATGTTTTCTCAACATTTTTAAATGGCTCCATGACCCAGCTAAGACCACAACCCATCAGTTGAGAATCACTGCCCTAAATAAACTTTGTGTTTAGTCTTTGTGTTTTAATGCCAAAAGACAAAAAGATGCTTTAGCAGAATGAGCTATGTTAATATTTTTATTCTTTTGGTACATAAAAGCATTAATGTGTAATCTTTTTAACATGTTTCTTTACTTCTGTATAGGTCAGTCACGATAACGAATTTTGCTGGGCTATTAATTTTCTCAAAAATTATTGCGATAACTTATGATATTGTTTGAAATTTGACAATAATTAGTAATTATTGTCAAATTTAAGAAGAAATGTTTAATTTGTTTTGAGTGTAGTACTTTTTTGTCCACTGGATGGCAGTATAAGACTGTTTGAACCGAAGGATGGATAGTGAGGGAGCGAGCAGCATCTCTCTAAGAAAAATGGGAGGGAGACCCCTTGACGTGACATGGGACTGTCTCTCTTCGGTTCTCAAAATGGCAGACGCTCGGGGTGGTTTGAGCTCTTTAGCATAGCATTTTTCACACAAAGCTTTCAATTAAAAAAAATCAGTAAACAAGTTTTCAACTTCTTTTTGCAGAGAAAAATAGCTTTTTACACAAAGGCACAGGTTTCAACTGTGAATTTTGGAGCTTCAAGACAAGACAGAGGTTTTTTCCTTGAGGTCGGCCTGTTAGCTTAGCTCGTAGCTTAGCTTCTCAGCTTGGCTGCTTTTAACAATCCAAAACGTGATTTTGGATCATTAAAACAAATTTTAAAGAGAAAGGGAGGGGTCAGTGAAGAACACCGGAGTTGAACCCGTGTCTTCAGTAGAAAGAGATGGACACGAAAAAACGATAAAGCCGCTAAACAAAAATGAGGTTGATAATTTTAATTTATAATGTGATTAATTTATGCATTGTTTATTGCGACAGGCCTTCTTCTGTATAGATCTGGATACTTCATTTGTATTACAACACAATGTGATTGAACTGTTAATGTTTCTGAAAAGCTTCTGCTGAGACATACTCATGTTCTCTTTGTTTTTCTGTTCTTTTTGTAGGACTGCCCGTTCATTGTGTGTATGACGTATGCCTTCCACACTCCCGACAAACTGTGCTTCATCCTGGACCTCATGAACGGTAGGCCCACCCGCCCAGCTTCACCCACCTCTGATTAAACTCCTTCCTCATTTGCTTCAACCGCAGACAGAATGATTGGATTATTCAGCTTGTCGTCGGCCACTCGGGTCGTTCCTCCTCTCCAGAGATTCAGAGCGTTGATGAGATTTTGACCTCACTGATTAAGCTCTGTGTCGGAGTGACCTGCCTCGTTTAGACCTCCTAACACCCAACACCCTCTGAGCTGCACCTCACTGCTGGCATTTCCTCCTACAGGATCTGGCCCTGAGGCTGAGTCACTCTTTTAAATTTGACAGAGCTGAGTATAGTTCTCAGCTGAGCTATAAATACAACCAGTCAATACTCATTAGGTTAGAGACTACTGAAGTAAAGGAAGGATGGCACAACTTATTCCCCTCTGAGAGATTAAACTTTTTTTTTTTTTACTGGATTGAGTCCATGCTCGACATAGTTCTCAATGCTGCTCCCCCCTTGGATAGAAAAAGAATTTCCAGGCCCCCATCAGGTCTACAACAGAGTGTTCGGGCCGCTTTGAAGAGAAAAAAGTCAAGGAAGATTTTTGTTAGTTTGTTTTCACTCCAGTGTCAATACAGGACATCACAGCACTGTTGAGTAAAATTAAACTATCTTCTGTCCTCCTTGATGTCCTTCCAACATCTTTTTCATGGATGTTTTTGACTGATGTGTTATAAAACAGGTACATTTTTCTCTTTGCTCTGGCACTGTGCCTTGCTTCTTTAAAAACGCTGTTGTTTGCCCATTGCTAAAAAAAAAGGCTCCTTTGAATTCTTCTCTTCCTGTTAGCTACAGACCTATCTCTAAATTACCATTTTGGTCAGAGATTCTTGAGAAGGCTGTAGCAGAACAACTGAAACACTTTTTGGAGGAAAAAGACGTTTTTGACACTTTTCAGTCTGATTTTTGTAAATTTCACTCCACAGAGACAGAGTTATTAAACGTTTCAAGTGACTTGTTGATGGCAGCTGACTAGAAATTTCACTGTGCTTGTTTTATTGGGCTTATCTTTTGAAGCCTTCGACACTGTGGATCATATGGGACTAATTAATAGACTGAGAGACTTGTTTGGCATTTCTGGTGTTGTGTTAAATTGTTTCACTTCTTATTTATCCAAAAGCTCTTAAAGTTTTTATGAACCAGGTTTACTCTAAAACAGCACCATTGTCTTGTGGGGTATTTCAAGGTTCAGTTTTGGTTGATCCTCTTTTTATTGTATTTAATGAATTTTCTTAAATGATACAAGAATGTCCAATGAGACCGAGCACCACCTGAAATGGTGGTGGCCCGAGGCTTTGGAACGCTCTACCACTGTCTCTTCACTGTTCAGACTCCACTGACTCTTGTAAGTGACGTGAAGTTGGGTTATTGCACCAGATTCAGTGGTTTTGTTTTGCCATCAGTCTGCCTGAGGCAAGGAAAACAGCTATTAAAAAAAACTTGTATGGGTATGGGTGATGATGTCTCAGGTTATATGAACATTTTTTGTGTCTGATAAGAGTAAGCTGGGTGGAGTGAGTCCTTGATGATTCCAGCTGCTTTTTTTCCAACAGCGCTGTTCATACATCGAGTCCATGGAAGGAAGTTTTGTCCCTGTGATCCTCTCCACAGTCTTTATGACTCTTTGCAGTGCCTTCCTTTCTGCTTGTGTGGTGTTCTTATACCAGATGCCCGTGGTTAGGATACTCTATCAGTTCTCTATAGACCTGGGTAAGAGGGCACTGGTTCAGACCCACTTTCCTGAGCAGCCTAATGAAGTAAAGCCTTTGCTGGGCTTTTTTCACTGTGGCTGTGGTGTTGATGGACCAGCTCAGGTCCAATGTAACCTGCAATCCCAAGAATCTATGGCTGTCAGTAGGAATGTGCGATATGGCATAAAATTCATATCACGATATGTATTGTGAAGGGTGGCGATAACGATATATATCGCGATATGTTTTGGGTATAAAACTTAATAGGAATTTTTCAAAAAGCACAGGGTGTCCTTTTGCCATCGTATATTTTGAATTAAGAAAATGCCACTTCTAGGTCCAGAGAGTTTTTAAATAATAAACAAATAAAGTATTAGGCTTCTTGCTTGTAGTGCAAAACAGTGCAAAATATATAAAATGTAGTTTTAGTCATATGTTTTAAACAAAAGAATATGTTGTTCACATTTTCCAGTCTTACTTAGGAAATGAACAGCAACAGAGCAGCATTTTACACTGAAACACTTCATCCTCCAAACCTCTAGTTGGCGACTCCTTCTGCTTTAATGGCGAGCTGACACAAAATGACTGTGGCTTTGACCAGAGGGTCTCACAGTAAAATCACACAACACAGCGTTCTTTTCACAGATTAGAGAGCAGGTTTCTCTAAAGCTGACCAACGTTTACTTTAACTTACGATGGAAAAAAAAAACTTTCGATGGAACACAGCGTTTTGCGCATGCGTCAAAATACGGCAACACTACGGCAAGCCGGGCATAGTTAGCTTGTAGCTTTGCTACATAGCTCTCGAAGAAAAGACTTTAACGCCACTTGCGCACAGTTTTCAACTAAAAAAAAATTAACGATTACATCTGACAATTCTGATTTTTACACTTGAACACCGCTTACGCACAGTTTTCAACAAAAAAAGTAACGATTAAACTGACAACTCTGATTTTACATCAAACACAGCATTACTGCGGTTAACGGGTACAAGACAGTTCTATTTCGTATAAGCTTCGCCCTTTAAGGCTGTCGCTTGGTGGGTTTATCCCGTTATGCGTAGCATTGCACTGAAAAAATTTAGTCCACGCCCACCTGCTGTGTGGGCCCTACCTGGTCCGTATAAATTACGTTAAGAGCGGGAAATCGGCTCCCATTTTTTCTTCAGCGAGCTAATAGCACTGTCAGAAGAACAAAGAAGGAAAATTGTGTAGATGACCAACCTTTGTTAAGGATGCTTGGCCCGGCAGTCGACCTCCGGTTGTCCGGTGAGTTCTCCTCCCCGAGGAGAAGCTGATGAGCAGTCTTATTTCAAGGTAAGCGCCGAGGAATATTTCTCAGTGACAGGTCACTACACGCTGGACAACGCCATCTTGTAATTTTCCTCTTATCGCCGACCCTCGGAGCGAATCGGATGGTTCCTCCAGGACAGGCGTGCTCAGCTGCAGCCCCCCGCTGCTCATTCCCTCCTGGAGAGCGTAGTGTCGGTGGAGAGGGGCTGAGTGAATGCTCACCCCATCCCACCTCGTTTCGCATCGGCGATCACACTGCTCCCGGCCGACGGCGCCCTCAGGGGTTGCCCAGCGTAACCCAGGAGGCGGCTGACATGAAGGGACCCCTTTTTTCTACGTCCCACGCCTTTCCCGCCAGTTCGGATGATCCGGCGGGAAGGTTGTTTACTGGGTTCCATTCCGGCTCACCATCTTGATCCATATGGCCTCGTGTTCCAAAAGGACGTCCTACGGGCGAGGCCCCAGACGGTTCTTTCCTGGTAGATTGGGGGAGCCGGTCTCCACAGTCCGCACCCATCACCAGAGTGGAGGGGTTCACCGAGCGGGGCTATCCCTCAGTACCCCCCCCCTTGAGCCAAGCCTCGCGGAAGCTTTCGGAGCGAAGCTGTCCAGGTTGGAGCAGCGTCTCGTCCCTCCTAGGAAGCACGACCAGACGGTGACCACGCTTTCCAATCGAGCCCATCAATGTGCTTTTCAGGCAGCCGCAGCTAACAACAACGTGGCGCTGCTAACATATAGCATGTCCAAGAGGCTGGAGGCCGCAGACCTGCCTGAGGAGACACAGAGCTCCCTCTGTAAGGCAGCCGACGCCATCCTCAATATGTGTGCCTCTTGTATGGTTTGCCTGTCCAGGATTGCAGCGTGGATGACAATGATTCAATGATCCACCTAGCTCCATCACTCCCCCTCGCTGCCGGAGAAACTGCACAAAGACCTGATGGAGGGCCCCATCACAGCGGACGCGCTGTTCGGGATCAATTTCCAAGCTATGCTGGCGAACTCGAAGCAGTCGGAGAAGGTGTCAGAGGCTGTGCGCCACCTCATCAAGCCGCGCAGCTCATCCCGCCCCCCGGCCCGCTGGAGAGACTGTCGTGAGCAGAGGCAGGAACTACGACGTTCCACGGCTGCGGTGGCGTCGTCTCGCTCAGCTCCACCACCAGCCCCACCCGTCAGAGACCAGCCCTCTTCATCCCGGCAACCAGCAGTTCAGCGTTTCCCCAGAGATCGCCTGCAGACAGCGCTCTGGGCAAACAAATTGCAGAGCTCAAGGGGGAGAAGATTTTAAAAATGACGGTCTGCGGAGGGTGTGTGTAAAAGTGACACGAAAGTTGAAATAAATCATCTTTCAATGATCAAGTGTCTGTTTCTAGCCAGTCTGTAAGCTCGGATGAACTCACAGCGGCTGCGCACACATCCTCCACACATAACGAGCCGGTGTCCTTAAATAAAGTTTTTTTTAAAACTCACCGTCGCTCCAAGACATGACGAGACGCTCACACGACACGATGGTAAGCAAAATAACTCGTTGTCAACCCGAGCTGCACGATCCTCACCCAAGTGGTGTCAAACGCGCACTCGTGCGATGCAAACAGCCTTCATCCAAACGGCGCTGCGTTGTTGATGGTGCACACACAGCTCCCCAGCGCTCACGGGCTCACATCGGTATAAACGTGGGACCGCAGGCTGGGTCTGGTGAAGGTCCTCGTTTCTCAGCAAGAGCAACACACGTCTCACCGAAGCAAACGCGTGCGGCCGCGACGCGGGCAGCCTTCACCCACCGCGTCTCAGCGCTTGGCCGCTCACGGCAGCATAAGCATGAGACAGCTGAACGAACCCGGTGACGAGTCTCGCCTCCAGCAAGAGCGGCGCGCGTCCCTCCAGCGAGCGGCGTGTGTCCCTCCAGAGAAAACGTGTGCTCCCGCGGGGCTCGCAGCCTTCACTCCAAGAGCACGGCGTAGATGAAGTCACGCTCTCTGCCTCTCAACGTTCGCACAGCGACGTCGAACGCGCAGTCCCACGGCGTCATCAGCTGACACGCTTCGCCTCAGCACACACCGGCCCACCTGTACATGAAGGTTGGTCTGCGGTCCGAACGCTGCGCACGGGCGCCTTCAGAGCCTTTTCGAGGAAGCCTCGCCTTGGGTCACGCGGAAAACATTCCCGCGACACATGACGGCAGTCGAGGCGGCAGACTGGTGACATCTGTACAAAACATGACACATCACTTAAACGCACGTCCACTCCACGAACGTTACGCGGAGTAGCTAAAAACATGCTCGCCGGACAGATGGATGGACAGGGTGTTATGCAAAGGTTACACGTTACAGTTTGCAACCCGACCCCCTCCTTTCGGAGGAGTTTTAGAGACGGTCCTGTCATCACCAGACCAAATCTCATCCCTAAATGCAGAAGTCCAAGAGCTTCTGATAAAAAAAGTAATCTCCAGGGTTCCCAACGGAGAGGAAAACACAGGGTTTTACTCACGTTATTTCCTGGTTCCCAAACGGACCGGAGGGATGAGACCGATTTTGGATCTGCCAGCTTTCAACAAGGCGATCATGGACAGACCGTTTAACATGTTGACAACCAGACAGCTGTTGGACAACATCCAGAGAAACGACTGGTTTGTTTTCCGTCGACCTAAAAGATGCTTGTTTTCACATACCGATCATCCCAAAACACAGAAAATTCTTGCGTTTCTCCTTTCAGGGGATGAAGTATCAGTACAACAGGCTGCCGTTTGGGTATTCCCTCGCGCCTCGTACGTTCTCAAAGTGTGTGGAGACAGCCCTGCATCCGTTACACGGTGCAGGGATGAGAGTTTTGTTTTACCTGGACGACCTGCTGCTGCTGTCACGCTCCAGACAGGAAGCAGTGATGCAGGCGTTGACATCACACCTGTTAAATCTGGGCTTCGCCATAAATTGGAAGAAAAGCTCGATTTTCCCGGCCCAGACAATTGTTTATCTAGGAGTGGAGTTAAATTCAACCACCATGAAGGCTCGTTTATCACAAACGAGAATCGACATTTTAAAAGACCAGCTCCGCCACTTAAGACCTGGCAGAGTGGTAACAGCCGTCTCCGTCATGAAGCTGGTAGGAATGATGTCATCAGCTCACACAGTGGTCCCGCTGGGTTTATTACACATGAGACGCCACCAGAGATGGTTTGTGCGTCTGCGTGTGGATCCAGTAAAACAAAAGAGACGGATGATCACTGTTCCTCCCTCCGTGAGAGCAGACCTCCGACACTGGGGAAACACCCTGGTTCTGTTGGAGTGAACCCCCATCAGCAGACCCACGTCACACGTGTCAGTCTTCACGGACGCGTCGCTGTCAGGCTGGGGGGGGACATGCCTATCTCAAGCAGTAGGGGCGCTGTGGCCCCATCACACATCAGACCACATAAATGTTTTGGAGTGTTTCACTGTGCTGAATGTAATTCAGCACTTTGCTCCCGTGCTACAGAATCAACAGGTGTTGATTCACACAGACAACAAGGTGACTGCTGCGTACATAAACCAGCAGGGGGGTATGCGCTCTGCCCAGATGTTACACATTGCGCGAAAGCTACTGTATTGGGCTCACCAAAATCTGCTCTCTATCAGAGTAGTTTACATACCCGGTGTTCTGAACAAAGGGGCAGATGTGATGTCCAGGGGCGGCCCACGTCACAGGGACTGGACTCTCCATCCAGACCTGATGACTCAGACGTGGCAGAAATTTGGCAAAGCAGCTGTGGACCTGTTTGCGACACGAGAGAACGTTCAGTGTCAACTATGGTTTTCCCTGAGCCCGCGAGACGAACCACCGCTGGGGGTGGATGCGTTTGCCCCCAGCCCATGGCCCAAAATGCTTCTGTACGCGTTTCCTCCACCTCCTCTGATTTTACGGTTCCTGAACCGAGTTCAGGAAGAGTGATTGACAGCTCTCCTGGTGGCCCCCGAGCGCGTGAACTTACCATGGTTCCCAGTCCTGCAACGTCTACTGTCGGGGCACCCTTGGAAACTGCCGTGGAGAGAGGACGCTCTCCTCCAGGCAGGAGGAGCGATCAGGAGTTACCCAGAAATAGGCCAGCACCTGTGGGTCTGGCCGCTGAGCGGATCCGCTTAGAGAGGATGGGTCTCCCACAGGATGTAGTGCGCACAATCCAGGATTCACGTGCTGCATCTACCACAGCGCTGTACACATCAAAGTGGACAGTTTTTTCAGCGCTGGTGTACAGAGAAAGGTGTAGAGGCCACCTCATGTCCATTAGGCGGCGTGCTGTCTTTTTCTACACAGGTGATGGACAGGAAGTTGGCTGTCAGCACGATTAAAACGTACGCTGCAGCCATCTCTTCCTGCCACGAAGGGTTCGGAGACAGAACAGCTTTTAATCACCCGCTGATGAAGCGGTTTCTAAAAGGTGTATAGAGACGCAGGCCTGTTTCACGCCCACTTGTTTCACAGTGGGATTTAATGCTGGTCCTGCGAGCCCTGATCAAGCTCCATTTGAGCATATGGATCAGGTTCCACTTAAATTCTTGTCTCTTAAAACAGCCCTGCTGCTGGCTTTAACATCCGCTAAGAGGGTGAGTGATTTATCTGCCATCTCTGTCGCTCCGTCATGTCTTAGAATTCAGGCTGACGGCAGCTCAGCTGATTTAAGACCAAACCCAGCTTTTATGCCTAAAAACATCACAAGCTCTTTTAAATCAAGAGCGATATCGTTGGAGGGGTTTTCCCTCCTCCCCACAGATCAGAAGAAGAAGTATCTTTCCATCTTCTCTGTCCGGTGCGGGCGGTGACGTGTTACATATCGTTACACAGCTGTAATGCGCCAAACTCAACATTTGTTTGTGCATTATAGAGATGCATCTGCAGGTCGCTCGTTATCCACCCAGCGCTTTTCACACTGGCTGTGTGAGGCCATTTCTGAAGCCTACAGAGCATCAGATTTAGAGCCCCCTGTCAACCTCAGGGCGCACTCGACCAGGGATATCGCATCTTCGACTGCCTTGCATAATGGTATGACAATGCAGGACATCTGCACTGCGGCCACGTGGTCAACACCCTGCTCATTCATTCGCTCTTATCTACGTGATGTGACGGCCCGTTCCATGACACATTCTGTCCTTAGTGCTCTAACAGAATGAATATTGTTGTTTTCATGGAACTCTGTTTAAGCTCACATCTGTCTGCATGCTTCACAGTGTGAGATGTGTTATCAGTCACAAGTTGTGTCTGTTATTTTGGTTCTATTGTCACTAATCGGTTCATGACTATTGTTACCAATCAGTTCATTTGATTAATAATCAGTTCATTTGTTATTATTAATCTGTCTAAACTGTTCAGCCATGAATGCATAGTTACACAACATGCGTCTGTGCATGGCTCACATAATTACGCAACATGCGTCTGTGCATGGCTCACATAATTACGCAATGCGTAGTTACGCACATGGTGAGCTGAGTGACAAGACGTTTTTTGGACAAGCTTCTGCTTCATACGGTGTTCGAATGGACCCAGTGAGGCGAGGACCACATCTGCTTCGCCCTTAACCCACCAAGCGACAACCTTAAAGGGCGAAGCTTATACGAAATAGAACGTTGGTTACGTACTGTAATCCCAGATTCTATGAGTATAAGCATAGCCCTTTAAGCGTCGGGCCTCACTGGCTCCTAAATGGCTGAAGAAAAAGCTATTTTGGGAGCCGATTTCCCGCTCTTCACGTAATTTATACGGACCGGGTAGGGCCCACACAGCAGGTGGGCATGGACTAAATTTTTTCAGTGCAATGCTACGCATAACGGGTAAACCCACCAAGCGACAGCCTTAAAGGGCTACTCATACTCATAGAATCTGGGGTTACAGTACGTAACCAACGATCTCTATCGTAGGCTACATTTCTATCGTTTCTACCATATACCGTTTATATTGCGCATTCCTAGCTGTCAGCCATCTCTACCTCAGTGCCTTTAATGATGAGAGGCTGTGATGGGGAGAGTAACAAAGGTTATTATTGGAAATTTGTTACATTAAAATCCAAGATGGCTGCCCCATCATTTTAGGAAACCATGCTTTCTAGTTTTCATATTGCTTAAGTATAGTTTCCTCCAATGACTGGGGTGGCTGAGGATTAATATATAGCAGCCAAAGCTGTCATTGGCATCCCCAGGCTCCACTATTGCAACTGCTCCCCCCTCTCATCAGTGACACCCCCCCCCCCACCCCAAACTCTCTTCTTGTACACAGTCTAACTCTTACCTGTTTGAATATCTTGCACCAAATATATTAAAATGTAATTCCCTGTTCCATTTCAGTGTAAAATAAACTTGAACTCATTTCAAAAACCACAAACATTCACTACTCAAATCCCCAGCATCAGTGGACATCAGTGTACCACTGTTTTTTATTTTTATTTCATTTTATTAATTATTTAATTCAAGACTTGTGGCTGCACTGTCACTGAGTTCATTAAAAAATTCCATGCAGTATTTTATTTGAAGCCATGTTGTGATATTGATTATTACAGTATTTTGAAATTAGCACTGGAAAAAAATAAAATAAAATTAGGAGTAATTGCTCCCCACAAATTGAAAACCACTGCTCTACATGTAACTACTGTTACATGTGTGTATTTCCAGGGGGAGACCTGCATTACCACCTCTCTCAGCATGGCGTGTTCAGTGAAAAAGAAATGCGTTTCTACGCAACTGAAATCATCTTGGGTCTGGAGCATATGCACAACCGCTTTGTCGTTTACAGGGACCTTAAGGTAGGTCATTGATCCTGATCTGAAATAAGACAAAGTCTTCAAAGTTTTGATTAAACTTCCTGTATTTTTTCATTCAATCTTTATTTCTACAGGTTAGTCTCATTAAGACTCGAGGACTCATTTACAAGAGAGACCTGTTTTAACAAAGAATCATGACAACAGTAGACAATCATAAAAAAAAACATATAAACTGAAAAATAAATGGAAGAAAATTATATTAAAAAACGAAACAAAACAGCTTCATTATAAAGCGATGTAGAAAACTAAAAACAGGAACATGTCTGCGGTGGTTTCTGCCATGAATTTGGCAGATGTTTGAAGTCACTTAGAGAGTTCAAGGTCAACAGGATACGATCACATCTTACACTCGTAGTGTGTCCCCTACAAACGCTGCTCCTACTTAAGCCTTCTTTATTTCCCACTGTGAAGTCAATCAGTCTTGCTGTTGTCCGAGTCTGTTTATAAAATATCTCCATACAAAATAAATGATCTCACAAACCACTGAACAGATTTTAATCATTATATGTACATGTACAGCTAATTCTTTTTCAAGATCGCTGGCACACCTGATTGACTTTATCAAACATAACTTAATATAACTGAGCCAGTTGTACAGGTATAAAGATAAAGTTTTGTGTGGTAGTAGCTCAGAACGTACTCTGAACGTTAACAGATCACACAATGGCTTTATGTAAAACTTTAGCGTGAGTGGCAGCAGACAACACTGTCCATTACTCCAAACAATGGTGCTTTCATATCTACCACCTCCAAAAGCCAAAGGTAAAAAATTGTTTGCCTGCTATTGCGTTCCTATGCGTGGTTGTTTGTTTTTGTGTGAACAAACCTCTAGATCAAACTTATTCAAGATGGTCGCCACAGCTAAGCAACTTTATCAAACATAGAAACTGGTTATACCTCAGTTTGTCAGAGTTCCCTGCAACTCTGGAAATCAGGGAAAACCTGGAAAATGACTTTCACATTTCCAGACAGGGAAAACTCAGGTTATTTGAACACTGGTCTGCTAACTAAAGATCTTTTTGAGATTTTGACATATGTGTGTATTCTGGTATCATTGAGTCCTTGTTCTGCTTCTACGGTGTACATATTACATGTATCCTTACTGAATGGCTACGGTGGCTTTTTAGTATCTGATGTTATACAATGCAATTAAATGTTTAATTAATTAACAGGTCTCTTGTAAATGAGTCCTCGAGGCTCAATGAGAACTAATCTGTATAAATAAATGTTGAATTAAATAAATTGTGATTATTGTATGCACGTACCAAAGGCAGTAAAGTACACTTACTCAGTGGTTTTTATTTGTCCGAGACAACTATTTTCGTCTCGGACAGCCAGATCTTGCCTAGAGGTTGTTCAGTGGACAACAAAATGAAATAGACATGGTTCTGTCACCACAACAGATATTCGTCAACTGTCAAAAAAGGTTGGGAGGTGGGTGGGTGTTTTTCTGTTTAAAAAAAAAAAAAATAATTAATCCATTTAATCTAATGATGATGCAGGGATTAAACTGACACTGCTTTTAACAAATAAAGAGAAGCACAGTCATAGTTTTACCCAATCAGAGCAGAGCAGAGCAGGGCGGGTCATGCTGTCTGATACACGGCAGGTGTGCAGTGTTCCTAACTCAGAGACACACTGCAGGTGAGAGCACCAATCAGAGTTTCCTGTACTATTTTCCAAAGTGATGATATATAATGAATTATTAAACGTGTTCTCGCGTGATAAATTCACTGCAGCTGGAGTAGATACGAGAACTGAAACACCACTACCCACTCCTCTCGGACCATGCCCCGACCTCCCAGGGATCTTGGTATCTAAAAGCTAACTTTGTAATAAATGTTAATATCTTTGGAGCATTATCATCATCGTACAGACATGTCCAATTTGCACGCGTGACTAAACTTCCTCAAAGGAGACGGTGCCGCTGCAGGAGCACGTTCAGCCTGATGTGTCTCTCATGGCGAGAGAGGGGACTGTGTCTTCTGCTTTAGTTTTTATAATAAAATAACAATAAAAGATGAATTATAACAAATGTGTGGGTAACCAATAAGTGTAGAAAATTTTCAGTCAGAAGATTTTTTTTCTGCTTTAATCTCTGCCTTAAATACGGTGCGAGGGCCTCTCTTACAAAGTCCAATGATGAGGAAGTTCCACTCGAGTAGATGCTGAAAGAGTCGGCCGCTCAGTAGCTTGGAAAATACAAGCTGACTGACTGAGAACATTTGTATATAGTAAACTTTGTATATAGTGCAATATATTATTAAATTACTTTTTCTTGAGCAAAGGTTGCAGACAATCAGAGATTTTGGCAGACAGCCAGATTCTGTGAAGAAATTTTTTTATTTGAACCCCTGCTTACCGTCATCTCTGAATGTGACTCTTCTCGTCTCCTAAGACGCTAAATTTAGAGCATTTCATGTGACTTGAATATCTCCTGGAATTTTAGGTTTTACTCAGGGAAAATTCAGAGAATTTAGTTTTCATGAAACGCTGGAGACCCTGTTAGTTTTACACATTTTGAGCTAGAATTTTGTGTGGTAGTAGCTGAGAGCTATCCTTCACACATTTGCTGCGTGCTAACAGATTTCATGACAATTTTCGTGTCATTTCCTTCAGAAGAATGGAGCGCGAGATTGACAGACGGATTGGTGCAGCGTCTGCAGTATTGCGGACTCTGTACCAGTCCACTGTGGTGAAGAGAGAGCTGAGCTGTAAGGCAAAGCTCTCTGTTTACCTTCTACGCTCCTACCCTCACCTATGGTCACGAACTGTTTGTAGTGACTGAAAGAATGAGATTGTGGACACAGGAGGTTGAAATGAGTTTCCTCTGCAGGGTAGCTGGACTCTCCCTTAGAGATAGGGTGAGAAGTTTAGTTAAGTTATCAGGAGAGACTCAGTAGAACTACTGCTCCTCCACATTAAGAGGAGCCAGTTGAGGTTGTTGGGGCATCTGGTAAGGATGCTTCCTGGGTGCCTCTCTAGGGAGGTGTTTTGGGCATGTCTGACAGGGAAGAGACCCTAGGGAAGACCCAGGACACGCTGGAGAGACTATGTCTCTTGGTTGGCCTGGGAACGCCTTGGAATCCTCCCAGAAGAGCTGGAAGAGGTTGTTGTGGAAAGAGATGTCTGGACCTCCCTGCTCAAGCTGCTGCCCCCATGACCTGGGAGGGAGGGAGGGAGGGATGGTTTAACTTCAACTCAGTCTCTTAAAATGATCTTAGTTTAATATTTTGACAGGAAAGGTTGCATTAGGCATTGCTTCAAAAAATGCTAGGCCTTGTAGTTTTTCGAGCTGCACAATGGGGTAATGTAATGTAATGCAATCTGTTGTAAAGCTATCCTAGCAGCTTCATAACTCAAACAAAGCAGCAGAAGCTGAACTGCTTCATAAAGCTGGAGAGCTGTTGACATTTCACTTGGGCTTCATTACTGCCCACAAAGCACACATTGTAATTAAATGAACTTTTGACCCCTTACTTCAATACCAAACAAAGATTAATCCTAAAGTATCCCTTAACAAGGGCATTATCTCTCCCTCTTTTAGCTGAAAGTAAAGCAAAACCTGTTTTAAAAATTAATCATGAGGGTGCCATGCTGGTTTGAGACACTGATTGTTTTCTTGGGATATCTTTGAAATACTAGCACCAATCTCCATTTGTAATCTGCTATTCTTTTAAATATAATTACCGTTTCATCATAAAGCTCCAGGCTTTTATTTCTTTAACTGCTTAGACCACCAGACCTTTATTAAAGATAATTTTGTTTCTATGCCTGGAATAGTGCACATACAAACCTACTCAAGGTTTCTCCACACACTTGCTGTATTTGGCCATGTTGCTTTATGTTCAGGAGTTTGTTCACATCATTATCTAGTGACTTTTTTCTCCTCACTTTTCACAAAAATGAGATTCAGAGTCAGGTTTTATTTGTCATGCACACCACATGTGTTGCATGTGGCAGAACAAAATTATGTACACAGGGTCCCAGTTACATCCAACAATGAAATGTAAAAGAAAAACAGTAATAAGATCTAAGATATGAACTAAGAAAAACTTTAACTAAATATACACTAAGCACTAGTAGTACAAAAACAATACGCCGAGCAGCAGCATGAACATCACAAACAATATTACATAGTACTAGGGTTGGACAATATGGCCAAAACTTTTATCACGATATATCTCATAATTTCGGTCGATAACGATATAATTTGACATCGATATAAACAATATAAAAGCCTCAGAAAAACTACAAAACTATACAAATAAATTAATGTTCACCTTTTATTTGTATTTAACCTTCAAAAAAAATGAAATCACTGTCAAATTAACATAAAATTCTCAACTTTGTCAATATTATTAGTTTTGACTTTAAACAACAACTTTAAAATTGTCAGCATTGAAATTCGTTGTTAATGAAATAAACTTTTTGGGTCTCGTTATTGATGAGAAGCTGACATGGAAATCTCATGTAAAATACTTAAAAATAAAAATAACAATCAACTGAATTACTGTATTATTACGGTGACATTATTTACATGAACGCTCCTACAAGCACCCTGCAGATGTTGGATGCTGTCTATCATGGTGCACTAAGATTCATAACTGGCTGTGATTATCGTACCCACCACTGCACCCTGTATTCACTGGTTAACTGGTCATCATTAACTTCACGCAGACTCTCCCACTGGTACATTTTCATCTTTAAATTACTTCTTGGTCTGCTGTCTTCATACATCTCCTCCTACATGTCTCTGCGTAAGTGCAGCTACGGTGTGCACTCTCAGGACATTATTACCTGCAGTGTTCCCTCAATGAGGACTGAACTAGGCAAGAGGGCCTTCTCCTACTCCGCTCCTGTTTCCTGGAATACCTTACAAAAACAATTGAAGCTCTCGACCATGACCTCTCTAAGTGGCTTTAAGAATCTGTTGGACTCCTGGCAGGGACCAATGCAGACATGTTCCTGTTTTTAGTTTT